AAAAAAATAATGTTGTTGACTGGAATTTTATTTAGTTTAGTCATGATTTATATTGAATTTTTAAAAAATATATTTGGTTGTTACAGGGTCTCACAATGCAGATGGGACTCATGGTGATCCTCCTGCTTTCAGCCTCCCCAGCACTGGGATTACAGGCATGGCTACTATGCCAGGACTCTGGGCTGAGGGGCGGGGCTCTGCAGCACGCGGTGCCAACATCTAACCATTGCCTAAGCTTGACTAAGCAGGCATTTAGTCTGCTGAGCTATCTCACTGGCCCCCTATATTTAATTTCTTTTTGTGCTACAGTTGAACTAATTCATGAGCCTAAGATGCTTCATTTTATACTTGTATTCATCTAAATGCAATAAAAATCGTTTAATACTTGGCTTAATTTATTTATTTATTTTTAAATTTTATGTGTGTGTGTGTGTGTGTGTGTGTGTGTGTGTGTCCAGCTCAGCCCACCAGGGAGCGGGGCTGGCTGGCATGTGGTGCTGGGGGATTGAACCACAGTCCCTCTGCTTTGCTAAGCTTGTTCTAAGTAGGTGCTTTTAGACCACTGAGCCATCTCACCAGCCCATTGGCTTAATTTTTTTTAAAAGGATCCTGACAGTATTCAAGCTTGAGCAATATCACCTTCCAGCAGAAGCCTGAATCAGGATTAATCATGTGCCTAAACTTGTCTCTCAAGGCAGAAAATCAGCATTACATTTTTTTTTTTTTTTTTTTTTTTTGTGGAACCAGGGATTGAACTCAGATCCTTGCGTTTGCCAGTCAAGTGCTTATCCTACTGAGGCATTTCCCTGGCCCCAGCATTACAATTTTTTATGGAATACAGTATTACATTTTCTAACACTCAGATTGCAGGCTGACCTTTGAAGCTCCTCCTCGTCAGTTTTTAGCTGTTCTAAATCTAGGAAAAGAAAACAAAACATGAAAGGACATATGAGAATGTTGTCACAATATATAAACAAACTCGAGGCAGATGGCTCCCTCAATGTATTTCCTTAAGTAATTTGGTTACCTCTCTCTGCAGCTCTCATTTCAGAACCCCATTCTTCCATAGGATTGTCTTTCTCTTCATCCTCTAAATTCTTAGTTTCTAAAGGAGACAGTATGAATTAGAATAACTTAAAGATACCTTACTAAGAAGCCAGATGGGGGACACACTTGTAATCCCAGCACTTCAGAGGCTGAGCCAGAAGGATTACTGAGAGTTCAAGGCCAGCCTAGGCTACATAGTGAGTTGAAGGCCAGCCTGAACTACATACTACATAGCAAGACTGTGTTTTGTTTTGAAAAAAACAAAAAACTATATATATATCAGAGATGAAATCAATAAATGTGCCCAAAATGAAGTGTTGGGAATATTTCAAAAACACCCACCATTCCTTGCCAATAAGGCATTAAACTATGATTGTACAAACACTTCTGGTGCCAGATTAGTAAACTACAGGGAGTGATCTCAACTAACATCTTAGGGGCCACTTTGAGACGGAATTTTTATATATAATACATTTATACAATCTATGTAACATATTATATACTATTCTATATAAGTTTATATAATCTAGATATCCATAATAATCATACAATTTGTATTTATCTGTGGCCAGCTCAGCCCACCCTGAGGGCGGGGCTGGCATTACATGTGGTGCCGGGGATCAAACCATGGTCCCTGCACTTGCCTAAGCTTACCTCAGCAGGCACTTTAGACCACTGAGCTATCTTGCTGACCCTATATTTATATATGATTTAAACATAAATAAAACACGCAAGGGGCCATGGAAATAGTTCAGTGGTCTAAGCGCATGCCTAGGCAAACACAAGGACCCAGGTTTGATCCCAGGTACCACATGCCATGCTGGCCCCATGTTGAGCCAGCCACCAAGACCGGGCATGGTGGCATGCTCCTGTAATCCTAGCGCTGGGAAGGCTGAGACAGGGTGATCATATGAGTCTGAGCTGTGTAGTGAGACTCTGTACCAAGTATACAAAATTTAAAAAGAAAAATGTAGATATCAAATAGTTGTTAGACAATATTCATGAACTAAGAAACAGATACACACATAATATTAATATCTTAATTTGATTTTGAAGCCTAGGGTTAAAAGTCTCCTCTCCATTCGTAATTCATTTCCAACTAAGTTCATCCAAGTTTAGATTTTCTTTCAAAAATCTATTTCTTCACCATCACCAGTATCCCTTAATACAAGCTTCTGTTTTTTGTAATCAGACCAGGCCGGTAAATATTTAAATTGGTTTATTTTATTT